TGCGGTTAATAGCAGTTCAGATTTATGCACTTAAGCCACAGTATTTAGATAGAGATAGAAGTGATCCTATTACATATGTAGTATGTCATTACAGGTTGAATTATGTTCGCTATTTTACCAACCAAGAAAACCTTTTAAAGGTTGCTGGTTGCTTGCAAGGAAGATCAGTATGTGTGCCTCCATAATGTGCTGTGAATGGAACAAAAAAGATTGTTTAGCTCGTGTTTCCATTTCTTGTTAGCACCTCTCCCTCTGTATTTGCTTGTCTGTGCTTTCTGTCATTTTGATATTTAAATTCCTTAAGACTTGTTTGAGGAAAGCCAGCTGGACTATGTTGCTCTATAGCTCAGGGATGCAAGTGGCTAATGGCCCTAAAGGTGGAGAGATTTAGAACCAGATGCCAATCTGAGGCAAACGTATAAATTTCAGGCTGTAGAGTCCTTTTGTTGAGATCTTAGCAGCTGTGTTTTAAGTTTGTCTTGAAATGAAGTAATTACCATATTTCTGGGAGCGTGCGGAACTAAGACTGTGCTGGATTCAACACTTGGCTCAAGACATCAACATCCTGGCTTTAAAAAGTATCTGATTAACTTTTTTATCTTGTCTGTCTTTATTTTTAGGGAAATGGATGTCCTTTAAGAAAAATACCACGTTCTGGTTCCAGGGAGACTGCCTCAGGTAGAAGCAGTGCTGATAATATGGAATAAATTAAACAATCAGGTTCCTCACTTAGTGTCTCTTTTTAATGCTTTTTTTTTTTTTTTCTTGAAGTTATGTTTTTCTGTTTTCTCTCAAAAAAAATACTGCTATATAGTCAAGGTTAATTCTAATATATGGCAAGCTTGAAGAGGCTTGAAAGTAATTTGGGAATTTAGTGAAAAACAAATTGTTCATAACTTCATTAGAAGTCATAATATTTTTTTGTCTTAAAACTTTAATCCTCGATTATTTTTATAGTTTCTCTTGCATTTTGGAAAATCTGTGTTCGCTGTGGTTGTTAACAAATGTTGCCTTTCACCTTAATCCAAAAAGAATATTCTTGTTGAACCAAACACTGAAGTTTAGCTGGTATTCTTCTTGCTTTTTTGTCCCTTTTAACCACAAAATTTTGTTCTACAGTAGGTAAAACTGAATATAAAAAGCCCATGTGAATAGAAACTTGAGCTAGGTCAGTAGGATGATTTTTTCTTTAAAAAAAAAAAGGTGAGGGAAGCCAAAATAAGGAGAGTATTCCCATGTTGTGGGTCCACGGCTGTGTAAACCTATCAAACTCTGTGCTGCCATGCTTTACTTTCTGCCTATGCTAGCACTGGGACTTGGCCAGTGGTGCGAGGAGCTGATCTGGCTGAAAACTGAGTCAGGAAATTCTCAGCTACATCAGCTCTGTGAAGTAGCTTGCCACGAAGTGTCCATGTGCTGGTGCCAGCTTAAGGCAGGAAATGGAAAAGTATGGTGAGGAAGATGGGCTCTGGTGCCACCATAGAACCATAGTCTGAAAACAGATTTCTTTATATTCTGAATGCTTTTTTTTTATGAGCACTGTTAAAATTACTGCAATATTTCCGAAATACTTTTCATAATGTTCTTTATTTATAATCATATATATAATTACAGAAGCTTCCTTCCAGTCCCATACCTCAACTGGGCTATTGTCTGTTTCCAAAGACTGATTGATTCAGCATATAGAAAAAGTGTTCTACAGTGGCTATTGAGCTGCTTTAAAATAAAAGGATTTAATTTCATTGCCAAGTTAGTTACAATACTAGCATAACAGTACAGTATCAGATAAATCTTATTTGTGATCCACTGTGTTCAAGCAGAGTGGAAATATTGTAGTTTCTGATAAAAATTTCAGTCATAGTTGACTTAAAAACAGCATTTAGGTTTTAAAGGGTAAGCTATTAGAGTTTTGGGTTTGTTGTTTTTCTTTTTTCATTATTTTTTAAATATGACAACAGTGGTTTACTTTTTTCTTAAACACTTCATAGATGACCCATCTCAACCAAAGCCAAAGCAGGTTTCAAAACATGAGGCATCTTCTGCAAATGCACTGAGAACATCATCTGAGATGACTGCTGGTACGCAGAAGAGCCAGTCTGTTCCTTCACACTGCCTTACATCTAAGATGTCTTCTGGGCAATCCAAACAAATAGACTTTCCTGGGAAAAGAAAACACACTGCCATGAGCGTGGATGCAGACAGTTCAAATCAATCTGAAGTATCAAGTTTGAATGACCCTGCTTTTAGTAGATCATCTACACAACGCAAAAGTAGGAAGTCTTGCTTTGTAAAAAATATCCTTTTAAAGTCTACTTGTGGTGATGTGCTGCAACTAATGGAGGCTGCTGCTCTACCTAGACGTGATTCTGCTCTTCCAGAGGAATACCTCAACTCGAGTGATGAAAATGAGAAAAAGAATTGCTCCTTTTTAGGTTTGTCATCTTCATATTCTGCACACAATCCTGATAAAAATAACGACATTTCTGTTGCGGATACCAAAGAGAATCAATTGCAGGTGGCTAACTCACAGTTTTTCTTGGAAAAGTCTCTTCCTTTTTCTCAGGAAAAAAGTACTATGTTGCCTTCTGTCCATCACTTAACACAAACAAAAGGTGTGAAATCTCATCTCCAAGATGCTGCCTTATCTCAGGTATTGAATGCTGCGGAAGAGCAAGATGGGAAAAGACCAGAAATACGTGCACACGATAAAGCTTGCAGTATTCAATCCAGCAACAGTATTTCAAAAGCAAATGAGAAGACTTCAGAAAATGCTTCTGATTCTTGTTCAGTGGAAGGTTCTGGGAAGCTTGCGCTCTCAGAAGAGACTGGTAGAAGTGTTTTCTGTTCATCGTCTTTTAAAGAAGAGTGCATGGACAGTGACCATATGTCTTCACAACTCTCAGAAGAGTTAAAAGTTGAAAGCACCTGTACAGACAAGTCCAAGTTGAATAGAAAATCAAAAAGCAGCTTTGATAGTGAAGATGAGAATTTGGAATGCAATCTAGATGATGATGATGATGGTGATGAAGAAGTATTCATGCCGCTGCAAGAAATTCTCTCCTCAAGTCCCAAGCCACAGGCAGGGGCCCTGGAAGGATCTGATCTTGACAGTTTTTCTCAGGACACCGTGACACCATTACTGAAGCTTCATGTAAGTGGCTGAAAAAAACAAAGCACGTTGCATCAGCTTTGTTATGTTTTGGTTTTTTTTATGAGATTCTTTCCTTTATTCATAATGCGTGGAAACTCAGAGTTATTTGCCTGCAAAACTAGTTACTCACCTTAAGGGTCCTGTGCTGTACAGTGTGATGTAGTCAAAGGAAGGGCTGTGCTTGCCCTTGGAATGGCTGAAAGATAGTTTGTGCAGCCAGACTGCATTAGCTGCATACCTTTCAGTGGTTTTTTAGGAGTTCTGTTTTTCCTTTTTCTCCATAAAAGGCAGCAGGTTGCATTTAGAAGATGTGTAGGTTCTAATGTTTTAATTTTTCTGATCTGGTAAGATTTTTATGAGTTGAAGTTAACTAGAGGAAATTGATCTGTCAGTTGAGAGATCTGTGTGCTAGACTCCCAGTCATACATCCTTGTCACAATCTGCATCGGAAATCTGTGTACAAGTTCTTATTCTGTGTGATGTTTTCTTTGAGGCTGAATTTCATGGAAATTTGAAGTATTTTAGAAAGGATTTCAAAAAGCTGAATAACTTCTCCTGCTCACAAGGGATGGATGAAGAAGTGTTTGAATTCCAGTTTACAGGATATTATAGTGTTGTGGTTTAGCCTGGTTGGCAACTAAATGCCATACAGCTGCTTGCACACCTTCCCCCACCCCCAGGGAATGGGGAAAAGGGAAGGAGACTCGTGGGTTGAGATAAGAACAATTAAATAATAATAACAATAATGTAAAATTAATAATAATAGATTAATATATATAGATGTATAATGATAATAATATATACAAACAAGTGATGCACAGTATAGTTGCTCACCACCCGGTGACCAACGCCTGTCCTGTCCCAGTAAATGATTCTGAAACAAATAAGTCCCAACACTGCAATCCCAGACAAGCGAGAGGCCCAAAAAGAGAACACGAAGAGAGAAAACTCCAAGAGTCCAAGAATGAGAGCTCCTGGAAGAGCAAAGGCCCTTCTTCCCAGTCAGCGCTCATCTATATACTGGGCATGACATTGCATGGTATGGAATACTTACTGGGCCAATTCAGCCCTCAATCCTTAAGTTCAAATCACAAGGGGAGTTGTGGGAACTTTGTCCTGGCTATGCTGCTGCCCAGCCTGTTGTGCTCCTGCACACTGGCAAGAACACGGCAGCTGAAAAGTCCTTGAGGTCTCAGTGCCAACCATAAACATCAGTGCACCATCACCGTTCCTCTCATAGCGAATCCCAGACTAAAACCAAAACACAGAGCTCTCCTAGCTGCTAAAAAACTCCCTACGTCTTCCCAGCCGAAACCAGGTTGTACAGTGATGAATTGATCAGTGTTTTTAAATGTTAGTCTATTTGTTCAATAACAGCTCGTCAAATAAGTAGTGATTTTGAAGTTTTATTGTAAAATAATGGTTTAATTAGGAAGGTCCTGCAGTAGGGCTTAGTGTGGCATTCCTAAAAAAAAAAGTTGATACGGGTCAGAAATGGCTGCATTTAAATAGAAAGATTTTGTACTGAGTTCGGCTGGGATAGAGTTAATTTTCTCCATAACAGCTGTACGGTGCTGTGTGTTTGGGACAGAAACAGTGTTGATAAGAGACGAGTTTTCTGGCTGTTGTGCAGCAGTACTTGCACAGCATCAAAGCTTTCTCTTCTTCCAACTCTGGCCCTGCCGTGAGTAGGCCGGAGTACACAAGAAGTTGGGAGGGGACACAGGCTGGAGAGCTGACCCCAGATGACCAGAGTGATACATTCCATGCCACATAGTGTCATGCTCAGCAATCAAAACCGAGCAGGGGAAGCTGGTCTGTCATGTAGCCATTACTCGGGAGTCTAGCTGGGCATCCTTCTGCCTGTGGGACGTGCTGAGTGTTTGCATCACTTTTTCTTTTCTCTCTCACCCTCCATTTCCTTCACTTGTTAAACTCTCTTTATCTCAACCCATGAGTTTTCTCGCTTTTGCTCTTCTTATTCACTCTCTGCACCACCTGGAGGGGAAATGAACAAGCTGTGTGTTGCTTAGCTGCTGGCTGGGGTCAGCACACCACTATTTTCTACAGTAGAAAACCAACAGTAGAAAACCTGTGTAAGTACTCTTGACCTCCTCCTGTTTTTGAATCTCTGGAACAGTTTATTTGTTGACTGAGTTTCTGTCTCCGTAGGCAGATGTGGAAGAGCCATAATTATTTTATCTGTCCTTACAATTCGTTATGCAAGCACACTATAGATCAGACATCTGTGGTTAAATACGTGTTCTGCCATCTTAACCAACGTGTCTATATAATTAATGGTTAAGACTGATAAACAGATGCAGCCTAGGTCAAATGTTTGTGGAACATGTATGTGACCACAACATTTGCCTTATCCTGTTTCTGCGTAATTAATGGCCAAGTAAGACAAAACAGTTAATAACTGTCCCAAAATTTCCATGACCATGGTTTCTCCATATACTAGCATTCTTCTCTTGTCTTGTAAAAAGGGGCATATGTGCATATTAAAATAAAGTCTTGATTCCCCAGTTCAAAAGTCATTTTAGGCATATTAACCAGGTATAAAATAAAGTAAGAGGTCATCAGCTTTCCTACAAGATTTCCCACAAAAAGACATGCTGGTTGTTACATTTGAAAGATAATCTCTGAATACCAGAAATTAATGCTGTATTAACTGGCTTTTTCATTAGCAGGTGAACACTACTTTAACTTCTGTTACCTTTGGGTAGTAGAAAATCCCCACTGAGAGGGTATGCTCTTACTGATGAACTGTGTTCTTCTCAAATGAAGGGAACTTTGTCACTAGTAAGAGGCTTGTGATTTAAGAAGGTGATGTCAGAAGGGCACTGCTTGTCCAAAGAACCGAATCATGACCATAAAAGATTTCAAATCTATGTTGTCTGCTACTAGCTGAATAAAACACTAGCTGCTGAAAAACAAACTAATTTTGCTAGCAGTTAAATCTTTCTTTGTGCGTTGTTTTGTTTCGGGTTTTAATTCTGTTTATTAGGTTCTTAATTTGAGTTTGTATTAGGGTTTTGATTGGAAGCTTTGTTTTGTGTGATGATTTTGGAGGTGATTTAGCAAACACTGATGCTTTGCCCTCTAGGGACTCCTGAAAGTAATAAAGAGGTACTGAATCATTTTTGGAGTTTCTTGTCTCATGCATGAGAATGGGGATTCCCAGGGTGTCAGTGGATGAAAATAATAAAGCTATGAGGGAAAAAGCCTCTGATGCTAATGCTCTTTGTGAAAGTTAGATGGAGGTCAGCCTCAGGGAGAGAAGCAGAGACTTACTTTGCTATTTAGGTCCATCATGAAGCACAGTTATTTCTAAATTAATCACTGAGAGAGATTTGACCATTATATAAAATTGCCAAGGGACTGAGAAACCTAAACTGTTAATTGACCTGTTTTTCAGGGTCTTCTCTGAGTTTTTATCTTCAGGTAAAATATTATTACACTTGGAAGAGGTTTCTATTTTGATTATATTTATTGTCTAATGCTGAATTAATTGGTAGCTTGTGGTATTTTTAAAATTTCTTACCGTTTCATTTACAGCTTTCTAAGCCTCCTGTTGTCAGCCAGGTGTCATACGTGAACAGCTTAGAACATCTCTTGAAGGAGAAAGAAGAATCTAAAAGGTTTGTTGCTTAAAACTGCTTTGAAGAATTTTGTGTGGAGTTGTAGAAGCTTATATTTACCTCATCTCCCTGAAACTGATGGAGTTTGGGTAGCAGCAAGCTAAGCTTTGCCTGCTGATGCCACCGACATACACCTGACGGGTCCTATAAGTGTGGCTTAACTGTAAAAGCTGAATGACTGGCTCCTTGCAAGCAATAATGAGTGATTTGTGATACATCTGTCTACTCCTCAAGAGCTGGACTAAATTTACTGATGCCTTTGTTATAGGTCACTGAGTCAGCTAGCAGCTGCTGGTCAGGCATGAAGTAGAAGTATTTATGTAAGCTGACTGTACTAGTTTCTTCAAAGGCATTTGTAGCTCAGTTTTGGTTTCCAAAGTTGTGTAGACTATCGGTATCTGAGCAGTTACACAGTTCAGTGAACAGAACTAGTAAGTGTTCTTGGAAGAGATCTTTTGGGTAGAAAGTGTAATGATGTATATGTACTAATGGCAAGTGGTGATGATGGGTATAAATGTGTGATTAATTCATTTTTATTGAAAGAAGCTGACCCTATGAGCTGACTGACTGTGGAGTAGTGAATACTCCCATATCTAATAACTATTTCCAAATAAAATGCTAGTATGAAGGTGGGTTTTGTTGGTTGGTTGGTTTATGCTTGTTTGTTTGTTTGTTTGTTTGTTTGAAAAAAATAAACATATCAATCCAGAAGATTGGAAGTTTTGTGCAATTACAAAAAAATTCTATCAGAAGTTGTTTGAGTGTATTTGTTTCTGACAAGCTTCTTTAGGCTTTGGGAAGCATCCACTTTGTATCTTGAAATAGCAAGATGCTTATTTTTTGCACAGGTGCAATGTCTTGCATGTTTTTGCCATGCATAATTGGCAAATACCGACTCCTGGGTTCACATTAACAGCTTGAATTTTGTTGTGGTCTGTTGGAAATGCTGAACAGTGATGGTATGTTCTGCGGCTACTGTTATTTCAGGGTAGATGAACTAGAAAAGCGGTTACAGGAAGACATACAAGGAGGGAAAACTGATTCTTCAGATGGAGATGATGAGGATAATGCCAGTGGAGATGAAGGTCTCTCAGAAGAGCACAGGTACTTCCGACTCCAAATCCAATTAAATCTACTTCTTCACTTTTGTAGCCCTTTTTTCTAATCTCTCCTTTAATCAGTTGTTAGTATGTTTAAAGTGAACCGTTCTTATTGACTTTTGGGATTGGGTGGATTTTCTTGGACACCATATTAACAATTCAGTTTTCAGATAAGGCTGATGTGTTCATCTGAAAATAATTGTCTCAACCAGCAAACAGCCTCTCAGTGTTTAAATTCATAAAAGCAATTTTCAATTTTACAGGGCATTTATAAAGAGATTTTCAGTAATAGCTCATGCCATACCTGACTACCACCCTGGAGAAGATATATTTGATTTATCAGCCTCTGGGAAAATCTTCAGTCAACATAACCTTGACTTGAAGAATTATAATTTCATCCCTCAAAATCCTATAGAAAATCTCCTTCTTAGGTAAGAATATCCTTTTCACACTGTTGTGTTTACTCGTGCAATTTTCTTTAGTGTGAGCAGTTTTTAAGATTAAATAGTACCTTTGCATGCAAACGAGCTCCGTCTTACAAAGTAGGCAAGACTGA